CTTCTGAAGAATACCATAGAAAAAGACTGCATATGTGGACTAAAACAAAAGAGGATTTATATCCTGATAAAATGTTCCGTATATGTGCCATGCTTGTGTCCCATGTATAAGCAACAGAAAGAATGTGAAAGTCATATTGAAGGGTTAGTGACAAAGTTATTTAGAAGTATTTAGAGCATTGCTTAAAATTATTTATTGTGTTACATGCAAATGTTTATTAAGTACTTAGTGATGGTTTTTCTTTTCACAGTTACTTGGAGCAGTTAATAATACATAGAATGGCCTCATGTGAGAAAATACTTTAGCCAGCACTGCCTGCAGAAAAAGAGTTAAGCTGGAGTATAGGATAAGTAGGATAATAATTGTGCATAAATTGCCCCATTTATACCTACAAAAATGCCCTCTATAATTATGTCCCCTGTCACCCATACTCTGAGCTTGGGAATTCGCTCTGGCTGTTTCTCCTCACTGAGTTTGGGACCTGCTTTTCATCTGATAGTAATCCCTAAATAAAGGCTCATCTGGCCTTCCTGCTCCTTTAAGAGAAGGCAGTACCCTTCTGTCCACTTTACATGGTCTACTCTCTTCCTGGGCTTGACTACTGTCATCTCAACTATTTTTTCCTTTGGGAACTGCATCCATTGTTCATGGCTGCCTCCTTAGATCCTTCAGGTGGCTGGCCTTGCAAGGACTTGTCCATGCAAAGAGTCACATTGATGCCACCATGGATGCTTCATTCTGCCGGTGCTTCTTGTTAGGTATCTCCCACTGTTTTATCTGCAGAGGTCTCTTCTCTCTTGGATTTATTTCGTAGCTATGTCTGGAGTCATTATGCAAGGTGTCACCTCAAACTCTCTTTTCCCCCTCTTATTGCTGTTGCCTGGATCTCACCAAACTTCAGAGGCTGCTCAGATCCCTTTCTTTTTGATTGTACGCTACCAGCCTGAGCCAGATACAAATCAATTAACCAGAAGAGAAAAGTTGCGTGTGCCCTTAATAATGCAGGAAAGGAATACATAGCACATGAAGTGTCAACTCTGTACAACAGAAATTCAGAGCACAAAACAGTAATAAAAGGGTTGAAAGAAGGGAGTGATATTGATCTAGATTTGTCTCTGAGAGAAGGATACTTCAGTTAAATTCATTTAAGTGTTTAATAGGATTTAAGAGCTGAAAAAAGGCCTGAATGTCAATAGCATTAAGTGTCTGCATAATGATCTCAGCTCGTAGAATCCATGAAATACAAAATGTGTGAATTATTAATCAAGTGGCTATATCTGTAAAATATATCAAGCAGATATGTCCGCATAAACGCTTCCTTTAAAAATAAAGACTCTGTGTAGCTCATACAAGAACAATAGTTCTTTATCCAGTCAATAAAATCCATATCCCAACTCAGTAATTACTTAATTTGAAGAAAATGACAGAGTTCTAATTTGGCCCAGAGCCTACATGCCATCAAGCCAAAATGAATTTAGTAGATGAAAGTTCATAATAAATGCTTGTAAGATATCCTGAAATTATAATTTTCATTATGTACATTTAAACAAAAGCATTTGGATAAAAGGTAAACATACATGTGCTGATTCATGTCCACAATCAAGTTCCTTTATAAAAATTTGAAGGTGAATTGTAAATGCAGAAAAATCCTGTCTGAGGATAAGAACGCATCCCCCCACATTAAAGGGTGCTATATTGGTTTTCCGTTCAGGGGAAAAGTATTCACATCACAAAAAACACCACTACAACTGGTTATAATCAATACTTTTTGTTGGATATTTTTGCAAAGGCTGAGGACCAAATGAATATGGAAGCAGAACTACCCTTTCCTGCCCCTTCGAACAAGTCCTTTCAGGTTCTAGGATAAGGGTGGGGACAAATTATTTTGAGGACAAATTTATTTTGGTAATGTTCTTTGACCAGTACGGCCGAGGAAGTCAGACTGCAAGACCATAACAGTCTCTTCTGGCCACAGAATTAGTGAAAATAGCTGTCTGTTTGTCATTATAAGATTTTAAAGTTTCAAAAAGTGACACAACACCAACACACTTTCCATTTGTGAAAGGCTCTTAACTTGCTCTCCATGTACTACTAGTATAACTATTAAATTCTCTTGTTACTAATTGCAATCTGGTATTTTGAGCCCAATTTTTCTCCCATGGTAGTAGGAAACTTTGATTTTCTTGGTTTTTTTTTTTTATTTGAGAATGCCAGTCATAAGTTACTTGAGCTTATTCCTAGAGTTTATCCTCTTGACTCTTAAAATTGGTATGTATTTCAAGGAACATAATTTTTGGGAAATTTTCTCATAGCTCTTCCTCTAGGATTGCCCATTTTGGTTGGATGTATTCTTGTAGATTTAATCAGATGACATAATGGTTAGTTCAAAATTGATCTTTAATTCTTAGAGACCTTACCTTCGTCCTATGCTGAACTTAAGGCTCACAAGATAGTATCCAAACAAATCTATTCCCCTGACCAAAGTAGGGTGCTGGTGGGTTCCCCAAAACGCTTTCCTATTTCATCTCTTCTCATACTCCAGTGCCAGGAATAGAATCCACCCTACCTCCTGCAACCTCTCACTTCAACACAGTTTTTTCAGGACGTTTCCCCCTGGGACTGATAATCTTCTCTCTCAGGCCAAAACAAGCTGTGT